GGTTGGAGTGAAGGTGTAGCTGGTCTGCCATACATTTCTTTGTGTGTTGGTGTGACTATTGCCTTTGGATTGAACTTCTTCCAGATCAAAAAGTACAAATCAATCATGGCTGACCATGAACACCACATTGTACCGGAATCTAGATTGTACGGTGCAATGTGTGGTGCTTGTTTCCTGCCAATCGGATTGTTCATCTACAGCTTCACCCAGTATGGCTACGTTACATGGGTTGCGCCAGCTATTGCACTTGCACCAATCGCCATGGGCATTTTCTTCATTTTCGAGTCCACATACAGTTACACTTCGGATTGTTATGGCGAAAACAGTTCCTCCGCTATTGCTGGACAAGGTTTGATGCGTAACGCCTTGGGAGCAGTGGCACCATTGTTTGCAAGCCAATTCTTCCACAATGTCGGTAGCCAGTATGCTGGTTTGATTCTCGCTATCGCCGGTACTGTCTTGACCTTCATTCCTTTCATCATGTTTAAGTATGGACATCTTTTACGAGCCCGATCCAAGCTTGCTAGTACGCAGAAGGGCGATGAAGAGCAAAAGAAGAAGACTGGTCTTTACACAGCTCCTTTCGTATGAAGGAATTGAATCAGAGGAGATTCCGATTCCGAATAAGTCGTGTAACGATGTGTGTCGGACCCTTTTCGTTGGCCTGGCGGCGGGTTCTATATACAGGCGTGGTTGAATTCATCCGCGTTGTGTATATGATTCCAAACAACTGTCGCCGCAAGGTCAAAATCTCCCATCGCGGGTCACTCTGCAGTTTTAGTATTGTTTATTGTAGCATAGCATAGCATTGCGGGATAATGGTGTCGATGACTGGGCGATCTGTGATCGAATTTATGAGGAATATCTGGGATTGGAAATATGCATTAGTCGGCGTTCATAATTCTTGGGATATTTTTGGAAAAATCACTGCACGATACCAATGAAAAATATAGGTTTGAATAATTCATGTACCATGATTCCATATGCTCTATATTTCCTCTCACTCATTGTGACGCTTATTCGACTGTACCGCCGTGCCGACTCGAATGCCGATTGAACGTGATGAAACTTGAGCTCAGTTGATAGCCGTGGATAATTGAGCTTAGCATCATTGTCGTATTATAATAAGTCGTTGTGAATTAAAGGGTGGAACATGTTTATGTTGCACGTAAGAAGGTAAGAAGTTCGAGGTGTTGTGCGATCTTAGTTGGGTTTGTTTGCTCAAAGATGGTTGGTTGGCTTGGTTCTTGAAAAGGTCTCAGCCTAGAGCAGACTCTTCAAGTGTTCTCTCATTCCTACGCCAGAGGCCTGACAGACAACAACGACGACGATAGAAAGAAACTCGTTCTGAGATTGAAAATCATTGTGACGGTTATCCATTAATTCTCTTAATCTGCCCTTAAATCTGTGAATCTTTTCTATTCCTTTTAATGTTCGACACCAACTTTTGCATCTGCAGGCTCTGTCATTTTTGTTGTGGGGGGTGGGGTATCCGGGGTAATAAGATCTAGAAGGAAAAAGTTCGTTCAGTTGGAAGGAAAAGTTGAATAAAACCTTCACCCGATCAACCGGGTGGTAGTGATGCTTTATACTTTCTTATGTACCCCGTGTATTCTCTTTCTTGCCAATGCAACATATCCTTGATTGACCCCCCCCCCCCCAAAGAATTTCCATGGGGAATTACCCCCAAAAGAGGCAATCCCCGCCATTTGTGGATCATTTCACTGGTAAAAGCTTTACCGATCATGGGGGATGCAATTCTTTCTCGTAATTGTTGTGGATCGATATGACAATTACCAAAATGTTTGCTAAGATGCTGTTTCGGGACGGTTTTGGAAAAGAAGTCATTTGTCCCGGGTACCTGCACCTTTGTGAGCGGAGTCGTGGTGACATGAATGGTGTGTGAGATGACACATAACATTCATCGTCGAATTCACCGGAAAACTTCGTCCGATGGATCAATTTCACACGAATGAGTGCGACAAGTTGAAACGGTCAGTGGCTTGAGACTTATTGAACCACTCCTATCAACCACCACACGTGTGATCCATGAGGGTGGCTTCATCGATGGAATTGATAGTATCGAATATCTCTCCGATTAACCATTTCATTCTGGTGGACCCCTCCGAGACCACCACGGCTTTGGAAATTTCAGTTCGACTGATGGAGATAGGATTGCAGGCAAACTCGACGATAAGTCTTCCAATTTCAGAGGGGATGGAGAATCTCAACCAAACTTGATCGACAGTCATAGGTCGTAGATGGCATTGATTATTGAATAAATACACGTTTTGTGTGCCATGGATTGATAATATCCCGCAAATACGATCTTTTAATGAAATAACCTAGGAACTTCTGATCTTGATGAAGCAACTGTCAGTTTCTGATCGACCATGGAAGATGATATTGTGGAAGAAGTAGAGTTTGGGATCTCGATGACGACCAAACACACCAGATTGGGCAAGTTGTGCCTTCCGTTTTCGAAAAACTTAAGAAGACGATCAAAGTATACAGCGCCGTCATCGAGACCCCGATTTATCTGCTCATTACCTACTGCTTCTTTACTTATATCCCAAAGGATCTGTCTCTTCGACTGAATCATTTCGATGTAGCCAGCGAGCTTATTGAACCAAGCAATTCTCATCTTCTCCCGTCGCTTCCGATAATCATCGTGCTATCAAGATGGAAGAGAGAAAAGGCAGCCAAGGTACTTCATTTTCTGACGAATTAAATGAGAAACAACAACCTCAATGTTGTTTGAGATGGGAAAGATATTCATATGCACCACAACGTCCTCGAGGCACTTCGATTATTCTGAAAGACGACGAGAATGCTCGTAACTGGTCTCCGGCTATCAAATATGCAATTTCCATTTCGGTTTTATATACAGCATTTGCAGCGTAAGTTCTTACATCTCCTCACAAAATCATCAAATACCCACGTGCTCATCATATGACAGAACCTTTGGGAATTCCACCTACACAGGGGGTATGCCGGGTGTCGTTACATCTTTCGGAATTTCAAAAACAATAGCCACTATCCCGATATCATGTTACTCCGCGGGCCTTGGTATCGGGGCATTATTTTCAACGGCATTTTCCGAAGTTTTCGGTAGGCGAATAGTATACAGAGTTACCACACCTCTAGCATTGATCTTTACTCTGTTGGGAGGATGTGCTACAAACTTTGCCACGATTGCCATCGCTCGAACACTCGCTGGTCTTTTCGCATCTCCTTGTCTGACAGTCGGTGGAGGAATCATAAGTGACGTATGGAATATCAGTCTCGAGAAAACCGGTACTACCTTTGCTGCGTTGTTTGTATTGTTTGTAGTTGGTGGTACTCGTGAGTATAATTGATCTTTTCATTTTGCACTTCCACATTTCCAACTTCTTGATTCATGCCTGAATGTTCACATGACTTCCATTCCTAATTCATCGATGTGACAGAGACCGGGCCTATGATCAGTGCAGCGATAATAACGAATCATTCCTGGCGATGGGAATTCTGGGTGTCAGCTATCCTTTTCAGCGGCTCTACAATTATCGCCTATTTACTTCCCGAAACATATCAACCACAGATACTACGCCGCCGAGCAGAAGCAAGAATGGGTCTAAAAACCACCAGGGCAACACTTGCAAGACTTGTCCTTACCTCATTCGGAAGACCCTTACACATGCTGCTTGTCGAACCCACAGTCTTTCCAACTGGTCTGGTTATGGCAATAACACAATCTGTGGTCTTTTCCTACCTTGTGTCATATGCTAACTTGTTTGAGAAAATCTACCAACAATCACCATACGAAGTCGGAATGGCATTTTGTCCTTTGATAATTGGAAGTGTGACTGCACTTCCGACAATTGCCATTTTTGATCGATTGTTTTATCGAAAACCACGAAACGAAGCAATTAGAACCGGGACTAAGGTAGCTCCAGAGAAACGTTTATATCCAGCGATGTTAGGATCTATCACACTTCCTATCTCTTTATTTTGGTAAGAGCATCAATTCGTTCCATCCATCTTTCCATGTTACTGACGAATTGATTAGGCTCGCATGGACGGGTCGCGCAGATATTCCCTCAATTATACCCATTCTTTCTGGTGGTCTATTTGGTTTCTCATTTGTTCTCACCATGGTATGTCTTACAATCAATATAGAGATAATGAAGCAGAAGCTGACGTTACATTTCATTAGCTATGTCTCCCAGTATATCACAGCGACTTCTACACTGCCCACTATAGCGCATCAATGTTAGCTGCCTTAACATTCATGCGTTTCTTTGTCTCGGCCTGTTTCCCTCTCATAACGCCAACAATTCTCGACAAACTCGGCTTTACATGGGCAACATCGATGTTGGGATTTATTACCGTATCTTTGATACCAATCCCTTGGATCTTGTATAGATTTGGTCCTTACTTGAGAACTAAAAGTCAGTACATACAGGCATAATCGAATCTGTGGGCATCACGGTGGCATCTCGACTACTCTTTATTTCTTATATATAGGTGGACTAGTGGATTTACTTGCTTCGAGATCATAATGAACCGTAGTGTATATTTTTTAGCAGCTCTTATAAGATAGTACAAATCTCATTTTCACTCATATACTCTAGGAAATTCTTCATAGGATATGCTTCGTGAAATCAAGGGAAATATATGTTCCCTACGCGAAAATTAACCTCATTACAAAAGTGAAGAGAATGATAATCTTCCTCCTCAACATCTCTCTCAGATTAAGCGATCTCAAACATCTACCTCCATACATCTCATACCTCTATCTCCACAAGCAATCCTCCCTCCAAAATCAATAGTTATGCCTCCATGCCCAACTTTCTCACGTGACAAAATCAAAGGTCCGTGCGTCCAGAACTTCAATTTTGGACTTCACTTCCATTTACTTCACTCGCTTCAGTCTTCGATTCATGTTTAGGTACTCTGAATCTACGGCTATCTATGTATTTATGGTGGCCTTTGTCGTAGATGGGTGGTGTTTCGATTGGAGGGTTCGGATTTTAGATTAGGGTTTAGATGAAGGTTAAGGTTTGGGTTTTGGGGTTTGGAATCTGGGATGAGGTTCGGGGGGAAGGGGAAAGGGAGGAAGTGCTGCGGCTTTCTGGATGTCTGATGTCTGCTGCTTTGAAGGATTAGGGAGAAGGAGGTGTATGGATTGCAGTTTCTTGGGGTAGATGTGTTGATGGGCTTTGGGGGTTTGTTTGTTTGTAGGTATGTAGATTTTCAAGATCATTGGAGAGGAAATGAGGGGGGAAGGAAGGAGGGAACAATAGGTAGGTACAATGAGAAGAGTGCGAATAGTGGTAGGATGTTTGTGCTTTATTCTTGGGTCTTTTGGGGGTGGTATATTAATTTTTCTCTTGGGCTTTTGTGAGAGGGGTTAGGGTTCTTGAAGCTGTGATGTTCGTGTCTTGGCTTGTTCACAGGAAGTTCATTTCCTAGTGTTGTTGTCATTGGCCTTCTTTTTCTGAGAGGATGATTTATGGTTGGTGATAAGGAGGAAAGGGATTTTGAGCTTGAGGGAGGCAGATGGGAAGTAGAAGTGAAAGCGGAAGTGATGCAGTGGATAAATTGGAGTGAGGGAGAGGGCTTGATATGGGAGTCTAAATTTTATGGTGGGATTGTGTTTGATGATCAGATCGATCTTGGTAATTCTGAGGTTGATGATTTGAGGGCTGATGAAATACGCAGGTATGAATGACTACATAATAGTTTTCTGTACTGTCGATTACAACCACTTTATTGACATCGAAAGACAGTTCCTGTTGCATGTCATATGTTTTCATCTTTATCATTACAAGCTAACAGAGCAAACTGGTGGTTTACAAATGTTGATGAATGAAAACTGTTGACAATAGGTAGTGTGTTTTCTTGGCTGTCATCATTCAGATAAACATGACACCCTACAGGAATTTGTTTGTCTCAAACTTTGGTCAAGCAGAAAACAACTATTAGTACCTTTAGTTGTCCATCAACTATTCAGGATACTATAAATGTCTGTTATTCAAATCTTGAACAGTCCAATGGGTTTGAGGTCTGCATATATAAGTGAAGTATCAAATTCAAAATCAGTGAATGGAAGTCAATCTGAGGATGAGCATGAATTCGAACAATGTATTTCTGCTCAAAGCTCCTCTTGTTGGCTATGCAAAGGCACTGGAATGATCAGAAAGAGATAGAACACCATTGGTATGATGTTCGATGTTCCATTACGTTCAATAGACAAGTTAAGATATTCGAATTTTGGGGGAAAGGAACAAAGATTTCAACACTTCAAATGCATTCACTGGATAAGCTTGGTATCCATTGACAGAACAGATGAACAGACTCTGCATAGGTAGGTCTTTCACCTTGTCTTTTCCTGAACCTATTACCTCAGCCAGTGAATACTTCGAGGGGCTGGATAATGCCATGGAAACAAGATTGAAGGGCCCGAGCTTTAGCCGACTATTCTTCCATCCCACCATCGCAAAAGCTCAGTTTTATTTTGTCTACAACAAGCACACTTGCTCATTCCAAAAGTTTTCCAACTCCAATTTGTATTTTATTGCCATTTATGCCTTATAAGAGGTTGCAAAGCTTTCAAATTGGGCACATTATATTCGCAATCTTGTATTACCTTTCCCTGGCATTTGCTACAACACACAGTTTTGTACAATAGTCACCATGGCTATTTCTAAGCAACAAGAGGCAGTCATTGCTAAAATAGTTGCTTATGATCCAGCTACTTGGTTTCTTGCATGTGAATCTGAGGTCGTCAAGATTCCAGAGGCAGATCGAGCTGAGTTTGGGAAAATACTACGTGAAGCAATGGACGTTTACAAGTCTAAAGTTCAAAATGTCATCCCGATATTGAAGAGAGGACCAAACCTCAATCCAGAGGTCAATATACGTGCTTGGGCTATGATGCATGCTAGATTCTTGGCTCGTTTGTTTATTAAACATGTAAGTAAGGTTGTTTGTTTACCATTCAACGAATACTAACAACTTTTCAACAGCCGACCCTGTGCGAACGACTATGCGTCAAGCTTTCCAATGATACCTATAACCCAGGATGGCGATGCCATGTCAAGAAGTTCAAGGACATAGAAAAGCACAAGAACGAGATAGAGGAACAGGTCAAGGCAGCATGCCTACAAAGTCAGTTGTTTTTCAGCACTCATTCTGGATATAATTTCATCATCACAAACCACAGTGGTTCTACACGTGTTCCTCAATCAAGGGTGGAGAAATGGCCTCGATTTGAAGGTCAAAATCGCCAAACAGCTGAGCAATCTTTGTTAGCTTTATCTCAGAGTGGTTCGTTACTGGCTAAAATCTGTTAATACGCACAGGGGCTAACCTCTCTCCTTTAGATGAAACTCGATATAATTCTGAGTCTATCTCATCAAGGCAACTACTACCTACTCAAGCTACGCCTCTTCAAGTAAACAGTGGCCATGACCAAACTGCGACTTCCAACTCCGAATCTCACACTAGCGAAAAACAATCCAAGCACGTGAAATCTGCCCTCGCCCGTGAGAAGAGCGCCGCTGCTGAGCTTGAGGCTATCAGTAAGAGGAATGGGAACTCCCTCTATCGTAATCCTCGAGAAAAGGCTTATCAATTGCTCCTGGAACGCGATCTTCAGGCGCAGATAGCTTCTCAAAATGATGATCTATATGGTGTGAGCGACGAAGAACGTGTTCGGCCTACGAGCGCGACGAAGTTGAATAACGAGAAGAGAGTTGCAACTTCTAACAAAACTCGCAGAACAGATGCAACAAAATCCGCTGTTATCCCTGATTCTGAAATCGAGGAGGAAATCCAGCTCACTCCCAAAAATAGTGATACTCGACAGGGAGTCGACAGCAGACAAAGTCTCTCGCTATCCAGCATTCAAGGAAGCACTTTTGATGAGGCTGCAACTCTTGATAAAAGTCTTGGGATCGAAGAAAAGATCGGAAGCAAAACCTCCCTTCCGGCAGAGTCTGTCGACAGAGATAACGATGAACGTTTCTCTCTTCGCGAAATGATTGATGCTATGGAATTTATTGCAGAGCATCCTTGGATCTGCGAGCATTTGTTGGTCGATAATGTCTGGGATGAATACAAGCTCTTTCATGAGTATAATACCGAGGCTTTGAAGGTAGCAGAAGAAGAGATTGAAGAATCGAAAAGAGCTGCTGCAAAAGAAGCTACACCCTTTACACACAAGGGGATAGAAGTGGGTTCATCAAATACCTCTGTACATCGCACACATAGTGCGAGCCAGACTTCTCATTCCCCCAGTGCGCCTCCGCCTTACCTTGTATCTTCATCTCATGCCGCACCTTCTATTTGTCAAGCAGATCCACTTAATGGGCCTAAGAAAAATCCCATGACTGCTGCTGAAGAGGAAAAGGCAATTACTGCAGCTGCGAAAGCCGGATTTGTCAATCGTAACTTTCAACTCCAAGTTGCTACGGTCTATCGTGCATTGGGAGTGGTTCCAACGGCTACAGGCCCTGTTCCTTCGAATTATCCACCTCTCAATCTTGCTCAATCGTCTGAAAGCTTTGCTCCTACCAACAATGCACTGCTACCCCGAGGGAGATCAATCGATAGATCTGTTTCTGGTCATAGTCAACCTACACGTCATTCGCGGTCGTCGAAGGGTCGATACAAGGCAACTAATCCTATTGTGGATGAAGATACCATCATTGTCGATACGTCTTCACTTGTGCCGGCCCACGTTCATTCTGTTCCTGATCGCATCGCCCCTCTACGTCGTGGTCGATCATTTGAAGAATTAATTCCCGCTTTTACTGCACCTAAGCGTCGTATGCAATCAATTGTCGGACAAAAGAGCGCGGCTCATGATATTGACATAGATAAAAGGTCTGACGGGCTAAAGAAGAGTCGCGCTCCTACTATGAATCGAGCCCAAATGCGTGACCAGCTGCAGATCGCTGCTGTCTACCAATCACTTGGACGCCAAAATTCGATGCTTCCTGGAAATTTCGGAAATGATGGCGCTAGGGTTGAGATCAATGAAGAAGAAGAAGAAGTTTCTACTGGAGCCGATACTCTTAGACTTGAAAGACCACGCCCTGGATGGGATACTGATCTGTATGAAAACCCCCACGATCGTCATATGCCATCCTTTACACTTCAAGCAAATCTTCATGCGACATTTGCTCAAGATCGATCCTCTGACATGCACGGAGGAGTTGGTGTGCCAAGTGACTTTGGTTTCAACCCATTTGTGAATCAACGCATGGAACTTGGGCCCGATCTAAGAGGTCGTCGCTGTGCAACTTCTTCCACTGGTCGAGATCAGCAAGGCGTTGCTGTAAATCAAAGTCACAACGAGCAAGATATGAGACTTTCAGAAATTGACTTCCATGGTCCTGGAAATCTTGGTGTAAACCACCATATCCCTGGGATGTATGGACTTTCTCGACCTATTGCAGCTCATGATAATCCGCAAGAAGACTTTTGGATTAATCGTGGGAACTTTGGTGACTTCGGACCAATTGACATGGGACTAGATGTGGGTTTCAATATGAATCTAGACCTAAACATGGATCTAGGTGCAGACCTTCCCCCAGCTCCTAACTTCAATGACATTCAAGGCCCAGAAAATCACCTTGCTGATTTCAGGGGCAACTACAATTTTGACTTCAGTGTTGAAAATATGCCATTTCCCGGTCCAAGAAGATCCTCTCGTCATCTTGGTGCTTTCAATCCCAATGTCAACCCCTCTGGTTTCGGTGGTATGAAGCAATCTTTCGGCAGTGTTAACCAAACTATTGGTAGTATGAACCATGCTCCTGTCGGCTTTGAAGGCATGGATGAGTTCATATTCCATAATACACCTCTAGCACAAATCAATGCCGGTTTTGGTTTCGGCAACATGAACCAATCTTTTGATCAACCGGCTAGAATGGATCCATTCGATGTTCCGGAAGTACCCCGTCGAGAAAACTCTAGTACAAGAAGTCAGCTAGGAGAAGCTGCCGCTCCAGTAACACCTCATCGTACTCGTGCTAGTACTAGAAGTCAAAGACAGTATGATTTGTCCGCGAGAGGTGGCGGTTACTTCCGATTCCAGGATACCGAGTCAGTCGAAGGGGAAGGTGTAGATGAATATCATGGTGGAGAGGATGAAGAAGACAATGAAGAAGATGATGACGAGGAGATGGGAGAAGATGAGGATGATGAAGATGATTTCGAAGAGGAGAGCCCCAGTAAGAGAGCGCGTAACCACAAGTACTCTTCTAGGCGCTCAACTAGAAATCCAGCTAGAAGTCCAACTAAAGCTTCCGTGAAAGGCTCCGCAAAGGGTACTCCAAGAAAACCAAGAAAGACTCTCGTCAAGAAAGGTGCCAAGGTTGCCTTCAATCCTCGTCCAGCCTCAGCACCCTCTACCCTTGATCGTGGTCCACCGCGGAGATATTATCAAACTACCATAAATATCTCACCTGGTGCTCGTGGTCCCCAGCTTAATCTTGAGAGTTCTGGACGTCAGAGAAGATTACCATTTACGACTGTTGCTCAGGATAGGGCAAAGTTTAAGAAGGAATCCGAAATGGACCCTGAGGATCCGGATTTGTGATGGAGTGACGGATTTGGTTTTGCTTCGGCGCCAGCTGACCTGAAAATCTGTTTTGTGCGTTTCCTTTTGATTTGAGATCAATTCTCGCCATAGCTTCTCTTTTCTTTTTCGTTCACTTTTCTTTTCAATTTTTCAATAATTTTAACTACGATACCAAGGATGTTTACCCATTCACCCATAGGTAATACCTATGTCGAGTGCTTTTTCACCGATGCGCTTGTTTATTTCTGGCATCTTTTCCGTTTTGCTCGCATTTCTTCGATCGAAACAAAACTTCTTGTGCCTATTAAATCTGGAATCTCATGTTTCGATTTGATTTGGTTCGGTCTAGGTTTTACTTATCTCAGATAATGGTGTCTACACACATAAAACAAGTATACATGATCCTTATGACATGTTCAAATAGTTTTCTTGACAAGATGTCATAATGTAATTAATGAAAATTCAACTCAATGGTAATGATTTATTTTTGGGGTCCATGGTTGTCCCATGTGATTTCTGAAGCTGTGAGTTGGAGTTATTATACAGACTTTTATGAATGTGCTGTCTGGTCGTTCGTAGTTTTGCGAGTTTTTCCGAATTGTAATAATGACGATGTCTCTGAGTGAGACGTTATGTACTGTAAACGTGTGACTTACCTAGCTTTTCTAACTCTTCAACATTAGTATGGGTATAGTCACCATGTATCATTGTATCATACAAAGTACTATACGATATACTGACAAATGAATACCTCCAAATCATACAAAAGCTAATACAATCTTCCCAGTATCACCAGTAATCACCCCAGGATCTTGATCTTCACACCGTGTCCTAGCATTACAATTTTCTAGTACACGATTTGACTTTCATAACTCATATATACTTAAGGAAAGAGCATGGTCCAGGTTCTCAAACGGCAGTCACGACAAATGAAACCGGTGCTCGAGACATTTCTTTCCGATAAGAGAACATAGGACAGGGGGCAGACTTTTGGACTTGATGAGGGAGAAAAACGATTTCTGGAGACAGCATCTAGAGACTTGGAATAGATATTATAGCAGTAAGTTTCCTCAAGTCTTTTTTCACTTCTACTCCTTGTCCCAAGTATTCTTTCGTCTCGTTCAGCGCAGGATACTAACAGACTGATAATTTCAGCAGAGCTGGAGGGACTTGAATCGCGACCTTCTGCGATAGCCGTCGCCCCAGAAGTTTTTCACTCTTACGGAATTCTGCAGGTTTTACATCTCCTTCTTTCGACCGCTTGGCCTTTTTCACTTGAATGTTGTCGTTTCTCGTCTGCAGATTTTGCACTCTCGTCGTTCATTGCCTCTCTGACCATCTACTCTTTGATCATCCTATCATCTTCTGTCGACTCCTCTCTCGGCTATACCTCAGTGCCAATGAACATATGATAACACAAAATGGAAGATCATGATGGTGTTTGGTTAGATTGTACCTTATGTGTGTTTGAGGAGTGATACTGATGAGAACCCTGCGATGACTCTGTGGACCTATGGAGCAAAGTTACGAAAGCAAGAAGGATGTGGTCGAGTGACAGAATCATGGGAATGAGGTTTACAGAAAAAAGAGAGCTCGAGGTGAGTAGCTTGAGCGGATCATTGGGACTTTTATAAGTACAGGATATTGGGATTATAGGTCAGATTTCTATAGACTTTGGGGGCAGTTGGAAGGGAGATGGAAATGTAGATTACAGGAGAGAACATGGGATCTTCATCGTGAGAAGGAATGGATATGAGAAGACGACCAGTAGGAAGAGATGTTGGAGGCCATGGTCAGAGATGAAGATTTTGTGAGGTATTGATTAGAACGAATAACATGTGGTAATATAAGAAGAAAATGGAGAAGAGTATTTGTGGGTTATAGATACGTGTATGCAAAATTTGCACCGCGTAGCAATGAAGTCAGTGTTGCCGACTATCGCCATTATCCAGGTGAGATTGTGGAAGATATAGCGACCAAATAATCATAAAGAGCCCAGATCACGTAGAAACAATATGCTCGGACAATACTGCAAGTAGATGCACGTGAGGAAACCATAGATCATCTACGACGAAGGTTAGTTCATTAGTCAAACAGTTTGATCGACTCCCCTAGATCTTTTGCTAAATCACGTGTTGACAAGAGAGTTTGAGCGGCGGCGATGTAAATCACTGCCTGGCATCATCTGTCTACTAACTTTACGAAATAAATAAGAATGTATGATGCTCATCGCGAATCGTCCCTCTTCTGGGAGGGTACTTCGAGTATGACGTACTGGTGGTGATGAATTTCCGATTGTAGGCTCAGAACACTTAGAGCTAGACATAAAGCTAGTAGTAGCTTGCAACTTGATAGACATCTTTAGAGGAGAATTTAAACGAAACAGTCGTAGTGGGTATCGTGTCAAATGTCAAAATGAGCTAAGCGAGCCTCATGAAAACTTCATAATCACAAACTTCATGAGAACCAGTGCTGAAATCTGTATAAGAAATTGGATCTTTGCTGAAATATAATATAGAAGTACATCTCTCTGGTGACGAATTTTGATAGTATAATAATGAGAGATTGTTTTAGAATATATTTTTGTGTGTTTCATTGAACTGTGGCTAAATTTCGAAGTTTCTGATCTACTGGAAGCTAGACACGGAGCTAAGAGAGTACTAAAGGGGGGAGCTTAACGATTTCTAAAAGTTTATACCCTAAGATCATATATACGCTTCATTCCTCTTCTTATCTCGACCTTGAAAAAAATATAGAGCTTCGAATGTCCAGAATCAAAAAACTCTTCATTGACTGTTGCACAGTTTGTGAATAGGTGAGTAGCCACTCTCATAACACATTTTTGTCTTTTAGAATCATTACTGTATTCAGAGTCTCACTTCGATCGATTACTTATTAACATCAATTCAAGTACCAACCATGGCAAACGACACTTCAGACGTCGCTTATGACGACAGAGTACTCCCATCAATCGAAAAGTCAATTGACGACTACACTGATGGAAACCAGGAGTCTGTACTCGCCCAAGATTCATCGCTCGTTGAACCTCATTTTGATCCAGCCCAATCTCAAGAACACGCATCTGATATGTCTGAAAGTGTTTCTTCAAGCAGTGAAGATGGTGATAGATCAGTAAGCTCATCTGATGAGGCAGACAGGGCACTTGAACAAGACCTCGAGTAAGTTTATTTCCTATGTATCAATTCGATCAAACTATTCAATAATCTGGGCTACAGAGTGTGATAAGTATCACTTGAATCATAAAGCTCATATGATAATATTGTACCCTATTATGAAGCTCTATCAGCTAATTTTGTTTAGAACCTGGGGCCCCCCAATGGCTTCCGTCCAAATCGGCTCCCACAACAATGTACTCACTGTCCATGCTAAACGTTTGAGAGAGAAGATTCCTTATTTCGCAAAGATCTTCAATTTTCGTCGATTGAATTTCCATCAGAGTTATCCTAAGCTTAATCCCGCTGCCTTCAAGCTTTTTAAACGCTGGATATATGGAACTACAATTGCAGAGCAGGAAAGGAACAAATGCCGTACCATCGAGCTCTTCGCTCTGTTTTCTATCGCGTGCTGCTTCGAGCAAAAAAGCTTACAAGATGAAGCAATGGAGTGCATTGTTAAGGAGATTGGTGAAAGTAGCGATGAGTCAAGATTCACGCCAGAGCATGTCATATTTGCGTACGAAGCCACCCCTGACGGATCAAAACTCCGACTTTTCTGTGCCGCATCTGTGACTGAAGCCATGGAAGAAGAAAATCAATTCAAGTGGGATCGTGAGGAAGTTTCCATGCTTCTCGACGTTCTTCCAGAGCTTCGAGTTGATATCCACCCTGAAGCTATCCATCGATTTAAGAATGCATCAGAGGCTGCAAACAACACTAGCTCTGACCATCACCAGCGTACCGAAGTTGATGGCAACATTCAGCCTGTTCACGATAAGTCTGGAGGCGATCACTTGGATGTCAAACCCCTTCCCGGTTCTAGCCCTGGTAGTGATGAACATAAAGGTGTTAAGCATGGCAGAATGGAGCTTGATGGCTCTGCGGGCTCTGGCGGTGATTCATCTGGCCAAAAGCCTGGCAATATGTCTGTTCCATACAACTCACCTAATTCCAATAGTGGCGAGGGAAGCGGCAATAAAAAGAGGGTTAGGCTTTCCGGTGATGGAGATGAAGCTGGCGCTACAACTCTCAGACGTCCTGACCCAGAAGCAAATGATCCAGAAGCAATTAAGCTAGAGGCAATTAAGCTAGAGGCAATTAAGCTAGAAGCAATCGATCTAGAAGCAATTAACGCCTAGGTCGATGGCGGTTCCAATGGACCAGTTTTGGAAGAGCTCTAAACAACCACAAATGGACTTCAATCATATTAACGGATTTGGGTATCCATCCTAATAGGATACAGAATGTATGCACGTGGTACATCAATGTTTAATATGGTGTGGGGTTTGCTGTCAAGAAAGCGTGGATTGCTTGGATATTGTAACTATGAGGAGGGGAGTTCATCTAGATTGTACACCTAAAAGAAGCGGTAGAATAGACTTGAATAGAGGCCCAAACAAGAAGGGTTACTTTTTGATTTGATGTCTCAAATTTTGAATAAGTGAATCGCGTGATTGAAAAGTAACACTTGACGAACTAACAGTCATAATTTTTCAGACCGTGGAGTGGAGGAAGTAGCGTCTGACCCCAGCCAATTTGATAATGTATTTTCCTAATTCAACACTTTAGTGAACTTTCATATATTTCAATTCTCTTACTATACATAGAAGGAATAGACTTTGAAATTCTTTGAGTAGGATAGCGAGCGCATTCAAAATTTAATGGGCAGCAGCAGTGATCTCACACTTGATCTCAATAATATGCTACTTGAGAAACCGGCAACCCACCAGGGAGATCCGATGAAAGCACCTGCATGGGACTATCATCGACACAGAAAGGATGAGGGGTCCATTATGGAGGACAATCAAGTGCATCGTGTGGCCTAGTTGCATGGAGTTCTAAGTGAGAAGTTGAGAATCCGTGGCATCGCAAGCTCTTTCACTTGAATCAGCACGAGGCATCTGGGGAAGTTTTTGATTTGATGAGTTGATGGACGGCTCTTTTAGAGTTCTCGGAATCCAAAAATGATAATGGTGAAGTACATGTTTCATTGCATGTTGAGTTTATAGCATGTGAAATACAAAATGTTTTCTCTTCAGTTTTTAAGATTTAAAGTGAAAATATCTATCACGTGTGAAAGGTTGAATATCTCGGTGGAGGATATTTGCGTGAACAAGGCAATATAAATATGCAGCATCATGTCAAAACGTACGACCAAGTTGAAAAAGTTTCTATAATTCAAATTAACATCCTAATTCCATGAGCCGTTAGCATTGAGTCTGGCTCTTATAAACTCGTAGTAACACCTCAGCGAATCAAACTAATTCCTGAAAGCAAAATCACCCATAGCTAAAGCGTGCAACCATCTCTCGAGCCTCAACTAATACTGCGAATCTGAATGTGTAAACAAGATCATGCGATGAACAACCTAATCGCTATAGTAATCACAAGCTGGTGCCAACAACGGATCAGCCAGAATACCTCCCATGTTATCCTCCGTAAGTGTTGAAATATCTAGACGTAATTCCTCACTACGGGAAAAGATCGAATCCAGATCCATATCACTAACACCATCCAATCCACTAACTTGTGACATCTGCCATACCGCGATTCGGGAGATTAGAAGTCTCAACTTTGACTTGGGGATGGTGTGTTTGTAGACCTCCAACCAACAAGAAGGATTAGCTCTTGCCTTGGTATCGACCATGAACTTGATGAGGAAGTTAATCGATTCATCCTGAAGACGTGGGATATGATATTTTTCGGCAAGAATACAGAGTTTGACGAGAATTGGAAGTTTCATTGACATGAAGAATCCTCTGAAGGAACCCTTGGAAGGTGTGGTTGTGTTTTCGATACTTGCAATCTTACTGAGACCGCTGTCGATCTTGTCAGTATAGACCCAGTCGACGAGTAATTTGAAAGCCTTGGGATCATCATTTGCGAGGATAGCATCTGGAACTTCTTTGACTGGGTCTAGAAATTCTTCGAAAGTATTGGCAACCATATATTCGAGGACTGGAATTTTGGCGTAGAGAAGCTTGGCATGGACTTTGAAGGTGACAGTGCCTTCAGGCTCTTTGCCACTGCCAACTTCGATCTGTAAGATGATAGGACCTAATTCTCTGTTGGAGACTATGTCAGCGATATCATCTGATAGATCTTTGGGACGATTGAACAAACCTGGAAGATAGATGCGATCCGACTTCTGGCATGTAGGTACTGCTTGAACTATGGCGAGCTTGGGGCTTGTTGTTCATGGTGGTTTTGAAATTGCTTGTAGTTGAAGTTTCGGTACACCAATCAGAGATGGCAGAAGCTGACCACATATCGCTGGAAGCCATGTTTGCGTTGAGTTTGTAGGTAAAGACAGGTTGAGAGTCACAGTAAAGCTATTTTGGTAATGCGAAAGTTAGATTTCACAATATACTTATGTAGGTATAGGAGGAAGTCTCATAAGATCGGAAAGAGAATTTAACTTACACAAAGGACGATCTAGTCGCGTAGCTGGCCAAGATAAATAGTTGGCTACACAATGACGCCGTGACTTGAAGGTGACTTGGCTATGGGAAAAGTGAATAGTTTTATGGTAGGCGCAGCAAGTTTTTAAACAGTTACAGTGAAGCCCATTGTTCACAGTACTTACGATTTCTATCGGAAACTAAAAATCAAGTTTACAATTCATGCACTGCCCTTTATCTTAAAGCCTTGCTGGAGGAAAATAGGCCCGAGAAGGCTATTAACGAGTTTTACTAGTGTCAAATTCTCATATTCACTTCAATGGCACATCATTAGCATCTTATATCTTGAATGTCTAAGAATCTCGGTGAAGATGATTCATCAAATTTATGGCTGGAACCAAGCTTTTCGTTCACCTTGATAATCTATTCCAAGCATATTTCACCTTAGAACTTAATATTAGAATTGAAGTGTCATATCTCCCAACTCGTATAATGATTCAAACAGCTGCGGAAGCTTTAGGTGAATGATCTTAGGAATCACGTGGCACTAGGTCTGTATTCATGAATCAAGAAGCCAACGCCGGCAGAAGCAACCCTTGATTATAGCGTCTACTCTATATACCCAAGATTTTGTTCACATAAATCCGCAAATAGTCTTTGCCTTACTCCATGTCTTCTATCAAGACTCCTCGTAAAATCCCAGTCACATAACCCAAATCTCCCTACCGTAGTTGGCACGGTCTGATAAACACCCATTGTCTTACAATCTCTAGTTTTTTGCAGCGCAGCGTGTTTATCTGCACTCAAGTGCATATCATCAGTCATCCAGATCGCTTGGCCTGTTCCCACTCTCATTGGTAATGTTGACGGTTGTCTGCGGCTTATGTGGACATTCCTCGTTCACCTCATGTCGATGGTAATCACAAGATGGTGCCATCAATGGATCCTCTTGAAGCTTTACTCCTTGGGTCAAAGCCAAATAATCCATGAGGATCTCTGGATTCCGCGACAATATGGAGTGTATCGCCTTTACCGTCCAGAATTTGGGACTGCTTGTAAATTCTCCATCCTTGAAACGCATCGCATAGATGGCTGTTCTTGTGAAGAATAATCGAAGCTTGGATGTTCGACGTGTATTCTCATATGTATATACCCATAGGGACTCACCAATTATGATTCTCTTCACTTGGAGGAGTTTAATCAAGTAGTCCATTGTGGCATCAACAAGTGCGTTGATGTCATATTTCTCCGCGAGTATCACCAGCTCCAACAGTGGTGTGCTGGCAGAATTACCATTTGCAAAGGTAAGACCGATTCCTGGCTCGATGACTCCGCTATATACCCAGCCGATCATTAACTTGAAGGCTTCGATATTGTCCTCGGGCATTTTGGCACAATGAGTTATACCTTCCAAAAACTTTCCATTGAACATCTTATCAAAAAATGCAATCTTCTCGCAGAGTATTGTCTTATGAACAGTAAAGACAGCTTGATCAAATCCCGTGCCGACTTCAAGACGCACAATTCTGGTGCCGATTGTGCTGGAACATGTTAGCAAACGGTTTCATAAATTTAAATATAGAGTGCTTACTCTATCCAGTACTTGTTGGCCTTGACTTTCTTGGTTGCCGGTTCCATCTCCTCTGACTCCAACTTGATTGTGCGTGTAGAGTCCATAATTCCTTTTGTAGTAAGATGTAAATTTGACGGGAGTTCAGGTTTAGAATGATGCTCCAAAAGTATATGAAGGACTGAAAAGGATAAAGTCTTTGCGTCGAACAAGATGGAGAGGAGATTCCAGGTGACGTTCTGCTTCTTGTAAATAAAGGTTGTTAGATGTTCAGGAAAGAAGGTTCTAAGACGATCACGAAAGATCCATATATACTACTTTAGAGGATCCGGTGGAGGCTCGCTCAAGTCGTACGACCCAGTATGGCTATAGTGTATCTCAACAACCGCTTTACTCATTCGCTTGAAGCAATAGTTGGAATTTGACGATCTCACGATGAGGGGTTGCAGCTTAATATCCTTCCCAACAAGTTTGCTCCAAACACACAGTACAAGCTCTCATACTCATATAATGTCAAGGAAACATTGTTAGTTACTCTCACAACCATTTGGATTTGTCATATGACTGCCATCAAGAACCATTTCACTCCAAGTGCCCGTCTATTTGCTGCTGTATATCATTGAAACATAATATTGTTCTTCTCGCCTAAATATCCATCTTTAATGACCAAACACAAGCAAATATGTGGTGATGTATATATACATGTACCTACCTACATACAGTCTTTAACAGAGCCTCCAATTTACCTAAACCGAAGGCATCTACACTAGTGACTTTTGTGATATTTAGTTTTCATGGGTGATGATTCAGTACCTGTTGTTTGAAAGGACTATTACTTATTCAATACACCTTATACCATGACACACTAATTCTCTAAATAAGAACATAGAAGACAATACGGCCAATAAAAGGAAACTACAAGCTCAATCAAGATGTATATCTTTCGGGTCAAATCCATCTACAGTGGTAATTTCATAGTACTGCATGGCTGATTTTGCCTGCGCACAGCCGCTGCTTCCGTACCATGGTGGCACAACGGCCCTGACATTCAATATATTAAGAAAGTAGAAACATCATCTCGCTCAACTCTTCTTATAAATACATACTGAAACTCAAATAAGCAGTCCCTCTCTCAGAAAGATTTCTTTAACACAACTACCAAAGTTCTATACACCAATACTTTTGTTCGCCATACAGTCTCACCAGACTTACTTCCACTTGAAGATTCTTGAAAGGTCGCAGAGAGCATTGTAAAATTAATTCTGCAAATAAAGCACTCGGTGCATATTTAAAAGGACCAGCTATGTTCCAGCAGATTGTCCTACGAACAAACAAAAAGCCAGGCAGTCAACATGGAAATCTTGAGAAACCATCCTTAAGTGATCAGCCACCTTGCAACACGTGCTTTCCCCAATTTTCTTTGTGTTCTATATTTGGACGAAAAGCGTTTACTAACCAGATTATAGTGATCTTGGAGACGACATGATCAGTATTCAAGTGGGCGAGGGCTCTAGAGCCACAGAATTCATGGTACCCAAGGGCCCTTCATGTCGAAGAGTTCCATTCTTCAACGCCATGTTCAATCAGGGATGGCTTGAAAGCGCCACACAGTCATGCACCCTACCAGATGATGACCCGGAAGCTTTCTCAATCCTCATGCACTGGGTATTTGATGTCCCTCACGAGGCACCAGTAACGTTCACTCTCAGTGGTTTCCAGAAACATCCCGAAACTTACATAAATCTAGCTATCCTTGCCGGCAAATACCTCATCGATGATTTACCTGATCTCATCGAAGCGAGATTAATTCAGAAAGATCTAACCCGGCTCAACGATCCATGTTATGAACTCCCAAAATCATCATGGTACAGATTAGCATGGGAGCTATTACCTATAGTCCCCATACTCCGAAAATATTACAGCACCCAGAAAGCATCTCACCAATTTGTATATATTAACGGTATACTAGTAAACCCACACACTTGTCACGTACCTAGAAAAATTCTTAGAGAATGGGAGAAGATGTTTGCGGGCCGGGGAAACACCAGTCAAGCACTCCGAAAGTTCCGAATCTTCAGATACATGGAAGACAGGAACTCGTCTGGCAATGAAATTCCGAACCTCGCTTGGAGATATCAGGACATGTGTGACTATCTGGACCATATTTCCTGTTCAACAACCGTGTCAGATGAAGGATTCCTACGATTTTTTTGGCGCCCCGTAAGAATGACGCGAAGAAATTTGTTGGCTTGGTGGAGCATTCCAACCAATGCATATTCATCGATAAATAGGGGGTAGCTTAGTTTGAAAACCTAAAAATGATATTGAATCACATGGAAAGTTCTGAGTGATGCTATAAACAAGTTTTTAACACATGGATTATTAAAATTAAGTAAGCGTTGTTTGTACACATATTTTGATCAAGTAGAAAGAAGCTTTTGCTGCCTTTTTCCAGACTATACTTTCAGACATCTCATTCTTCTCGGCCCTTTTGAAGTCTTTCTCTGGTTTCAAAAAGGCTAGCCAGTAGATAAACACTTCTCACATCCTGTCCGCCAGATTTGAGAAGAACGAATACACGAACTGGATAATTTCCAAGGGTGAAAGAGAGTCTTTGCTGTCTGCAGTTTTGTTTTTGAAGGAAGAGGCAGATTGGCTCGGGTACTAGACTAAAAATTAGATATAATTATCATTTCAAATATATTCAATCCAAGGATATACCAGCGTAAACCTAATCAACCTACAGGTAGATAATGAAAGTCTTCAACTAGATATCTATTTATTAACCCGTTCTCTTCTCTTCTTCATGAACGCAACGTCACAGACGAAGACTTCATTTTGGAGAATATCAAGAGCATTGAGAACATCAAGTGTGACGAATAACACATGACATTGTGATTACTCATCACGCATACCTTGACTAGCTTGAACTAAACGATTGTTACTATATAAGAGATAAAGAGATCCCTCAAGGATGTCTTCTCTTTTTAGCTTTCTTATTCTAGTTGTTTGATCTCTATTGATATCCTCTAGTATGTGATCGTAACATTAAGAATATTGAGAATATTAAGAATATTAAGAATATTAAGAATATTAAGAATATTAAGAATATTAAGAATGTTAGAAATATTAAGAATGTTAGAAATATTAAGAATGTTAGAAATATTAGGAGCATTGGGAGCATTAGGAGTGACTCTTTTTGTAGCACGCTACCCCGTAGCGTCGCTTACCTAAGAAGTGTATATAATAGCGTAGTCTTGATAAGAAGAATAGAACAGCTTTACAACAATCATCGAGATGCACGCTACACTTTTACCCTAGGATAGTTGAGCTGGGATTTTGTTTCCATAGATAGGTAGCGATATTGAGTTTGAGGAATGTCTGTATCTCACTTTTTTGTTTTGACTATTGGAGGGATTTGATTTTTTGTCATGGGTGTGGCTGTTGTTGTCATTTTTGTTATTATTACTATTGTTGTCATGGTTGTTGTCGAGGTGAACCCCTCGATCGATTAATATAAACGAGAGCCAACACTTCCTTACCACACGCCAATGCCCATCATCTCCATCCTCTACAGCCTTCTCGCTGTTATTATCATCTCCAAATCCTCACCATCAACACTCTCTTTCGATCCCCCCTCAAGAAATCATCATCTCCACTTCCTCACCACACGCTAATTCCCACCATTCTCCACCGCTCGCCACTCCCACTCCCACTCCCATTCACACTCCTACTCCTAATCCCACCCCAAGGCCCCTCAATCCTCACTCCTCACTCCTCTTACTCAAACCTGAACTCTCCGTACCTAGATTTTTATCATCTCCAATTATCATCCATGCCGTGCCCACTTCCACATAAACCTAACTCTATTATACCCGCCTCTCCCTCCTCCCTTTCCCTTTTCCCTCCCCACAACTCCCCACAACTCCCAATTCCCAATTCTCAATCCCACCCCTATCACCCCTCACACACTTTCCACCTCCACCCACCCTCCAAACCACCCCCCAAACCACCCCCCAAATCATCCTCCACCCATCCTCCACAAAAAATCTCTACCACTTCAGCCAGTACATAATATATTCATCTAAATACCTATCTAGCATACCTAGCATAACGAGCATACCTAGCAATAAAACCAATATCATCCAACCAAACCAGAACCGCTCATCTCATCTCATCTCACCATTCCATTTTATGAAGGTAAAAAGTGAGGATATTGAGGATTACATAGAGTATATAAAGTATGCGAGGTATGACATAGGATTGGAGAGGGGAAGGAGAGGAAAGGGGGCAGAATTGGACATCTCTGATATTGTGAAATTTTAAATCAAGGGACAAGTATGGAATTAATTCAAAGAGGAAGAAATAAGAATTGAAAAAGCAATACGAGGAGATTCGTTATTCATATGGTAGGTATTTCAGCAATATATATGTCCATCTACTCAAAATACTCATCTCATCACCCTCCAAAACAAAGCTCCTACCATCTACCCCACCACCGCCTCACCTCCCTTTCCCTCCTGAGCCCCCCTCAAAACTTCCCCCACTCCTCCTCCACCCTTCCCCCTCCCCCCCCTTCGGCCAGTACAACTCCGTCCAAACCTTCAACCTCGTAACCTCATTAACCATCCCCCTCCCCCTCATATCCTCCATCAACTGCCAGGCCCTCTCATCCCCATTCTCCACACATCTCTTCACCAACGCGACCACCGTACCCGGTCTCATCCACCAGCCTCTCCTTCCCGTCGCATCAACCTTATCTTTCCCCACCAACATCATTTCCTCCAAATACCTAAAACAATCCTCATAATCCGCGTTTTCGGTATGGAGACAGATCAAAATAAGTCGATCGTATGTAAGTTCGTCAGGTTTGAGATTCAAAGCTTGGATTTCCGAAGCGAGGAACATAGCTTTCGATTTGGAGCCTCGACCATGAGCACCCAGACCTCGGAGAAGCGTATTGAAAGTTTCGATATTGGGACCCGCGTCGCATATTCGGTGGAGTTCTTTGTAGTAATCTATTGCCAAGTCATGACTGTGACTTAGATTATTGGTGAAGATGACACCTTCTAGAACAACATTTACAGCGGCAATGGGAATCGTGTAACCATCCGCTTTTAACGATTTGAGGATTTTCCATCCTTCAAGAGCATGGAATGAAGATTTTGTTAGCCAAAGATATATTGATCTTGTGGAACTTGCGTCTGGTGTGAGACCTGCTTTGGTCATGATATTTAAAATGCGAAACGAAGTTTTAATATCTTCAATTCCGACGTAAGCTTCAAGCAGAGCTTCATAATGATGTACTCCAAGAACCGTGCTACGTTTGGAAAGAAGTCCAATGGCCGATGTAGCTAAACTGGGGTCTGCATGACGAGCAGCACAATTTAATACTGCGGTACAAGTACCATCTGCAGGATTCATTTCCGAGGTTTCAACCAGAAGTCTCCAGATAAAATTGGTACCCTCATACTACATCTAAAGTCAATAAATGAATGTAAACTATTGATATAAAATTTGCTTACATGAAACGAACTAGCAAATGAATCCAACAAGTGATAATACATATGCATAGCCAGTACTGGTTGATCATAACGAGACTTCAATAATCTCAAAGCTTCATCTAACTCATCCAATTCACATAATCTAAAGAAGAAGATATCGTAAAGCCATGGCTTAATTTCGATTTGCTCTGCTTGCATTTGTTCAAATTTGTCCATAGCCAATTCATATTGACGATCGCGAAGTAGACCAATGACCAAATTATGCCATCCAGTTGGAGATAAACCATACCAACGTTCCTTCATTTCTTCCAATATCTGAGTTCGCAAAAGATAATCTGGATGAATCGCAAGTACCTATTCAACATGAATCGTTAGCCATGTTTCTCCAAAGAGAGAAATCAAGTAAGTATACATACTTGTAAAACCGTATGGTAAAGTCCCGAATCAGCACCAATTCCCAACCCCTTCATCTCTTCCAACAAAGTCCTCACAACCTCTACACTTCCATTTTCAGGATCCGCATTAGCTGCAATCAATGCATCATAATGTATCAATGCAGGTTTTTCCTGCCTGACCTTCACCAAATATTCCACCACTTCTGCGACTTGTGTATATGCCCCCTCTTCCGTCTTCAATTCTCTCAATCGTTCATGAATCTCATCGTTACTCAGTTGTTCCAAATTAATAGGTCTCGGTATATTCGGCTTCGCTCTACTACTTCGCGATCTCGGAGTATATTGTCCATTTAACACCGGCAGTGAAGTCGTGGTAGTGGTGTGAAAGGATCGACTTTTTAAACATGTTGGGATCCTTTTATTCTTAACCAAAGGGCGATTTAAGAATTTTCTGGGTAGTCGATTAAAGGTATTCGGACGCGCAAAAATGAATGTATCTATAGAAGGACAAAGACATCTCCAGAGTCCATCAATTGGAATTTTGGTGGTCGTCATTGAGTTGATCTATAAATTTTATTTTCAAGGTTCGCGGAAACATTTCTAGGCGCGGCGGAAATGTTATAGAATCACGTGGGAACAGAGGGGAAGATATGATCCCCGCGATTCGTTGAGCGGGATTCATACGAACGACAGGGGTAATTTTGATTTGCAGTCACGTCCAATTCAAGATGAAAAAAATTGGGGGAAATAGTTGTTTTTGTGGTTGTGGGCTATGATCTCGAAATATGTGATGGTTTGAGACTCTGCTGAGACACATGTATATGTGCCTCAACGATTTCTCAAATCCAATATGAACCTATCATATGCCCAGTATGCCTGCCTGCATCATTTCAAGGCAAATCTGCCGCATATATCGAAATCCATCGATGCTCATAAAGAAGAAATATAGCCGCCCCTCTGCACTATGTGTATATTATACGCGCCATTATGTAGCTTCTTCGAGTCCAATCTCAGCTCATTACTCCAATCATCAATGTTTCAAGCTCCTCTCCCTCCTCTTCCTCTTCCTCTTCCACCTCTACCCCCACGACCTCTATCACCACCTCGGTCGCCCCTATTACCTCCACGTCCTCTGTAGTTGTTTTGTTGTCCTTGTTGTTGATCCTTTACTAAATCGATAATTTCATCTGGCATTCGTAGATATTTGATCTGCGAATGAATTAGGATATAGTTTTTCTTGCCCACATCCGACTTCCTCTAACAAAAACGTACATTGTTTCCTTTGACATATATTTCTGGTAACCTTGTAAATTTATCGCCATCCTGAAAATCGAAGTATTAGCTTCAGCGCATGCCAACCAAACGCCCCAAGTCCATCCTCGACAGAATCCTTCATACCGGACTCGTTTGAACCACCTCCTTTAAAGTTAAATTCATCCAAGTATCGCATGATACTAAATGACCGTTCAAAGTTTCGCCATCCTTAAGCTCAACCAGCATTGGGTGACCTTGTGCGGCCGTGAGTAGACCTAAGGGGAGCTATAGCAGAAGGAATTAGTATCGCCGATTGTATGCGCGCAAGTGATGCAGCTTGTAGGAAATGTGAAAATGTGGAAATGTAGATATCATTTTGAGGGAGTACATACAACCATATTGTAGATGAATAGATAGATGATATAATGTTGTTTGCTATTGCGCTCAGCTTTAGAGTGGATTTGATATTCCAGGAATAATTGAGATGTTTAGGTTACCGTATCGAATTATGACGGATGTCGAGATTGACCAGCTAGGCAGGATGGGAGAATGTGAGAATTGCGGTACATAATTAGCCTTGAAATTCAGGCAATATTATTAGTTCTCGGTACCGACAGACAGAAACTTGACTCCCGGTAAATTTCCGAAATATCTGCATGTCGCCAAATATGAAAATATGAAAATATGAAAATATCACACTTCACTCTTGGCCATCACTCAAAACATATTTTGATATCCAAGTATAAGTTATATCAAACTCATAGTCATCGTCTCCCATCAAGATACATACCTAGTATACAGATGCCTTTCTTCACACACAAACATGTCTCGTTTCTTATTCGCTATCCTATATATATCCTGTACACCCACCCGTTCAACCTTCTCACTCTCTCACTCCGTATTAACCGCTTTGATGCTGACGACGCGTGATATCGTTTCGGTTAGTTCTGTTAATCATAACTGCGCAATCGTGAAGGGATTCGAAAGTGGGGGAAGATGAAAATAACAAACCTTATATTGTTATATTATGATTGATGATTTCTTTGAAGTTTTTCTTTTAATACTTATGGCTTTCTCTGTTTTTTGGTCAAGATTTGTTTCTGATCCGTTAGATCATTTTTCTGATCTTTTGTCTAATTGCTCGGTTATATTGTACTGGTAGAGGTAGTACGATATTCCGTAAGTTTGACATTATATCTCGATATTGTGCTAATGCATAATATTTTCTACTTATTATTATTTATTGTTAAATCTCATTGTTCTTGTACTCTATCTTTTACCTCTGTGCTCTCTTATCATTATGCGTAGCCTTTTGAAAGCATTCTTACTTGCGCCGGTCATAGTGTCGGCGTTTGTTTTACCACCAACTTCAAAACAAGATGTTGATGTCGAATTCGAAAAGAACGATGTTGATACTACTGTTAAACTTATATCTGATCTACTCTTTTATATCCATCAAATCTAATTACAACTAATAAAGGCATATACTATGGGATTCGTTCGACTTGATCTTGGACATGATTCCTCATCAGCTGATGTTTCCCCTCTAGACCTTCGAGTTGATATCCTTCCACAGAAGCATGTGGCTTTGGAAATGTGTTAATCGATGGTCAACCTCTTTCACAAACATTCGATTCGGAAACTTCAATCTCATCTGGAAGAGGTTCCATTTCGACATCAACAAATAAAGTCGTAGTGGGATCATGGTCTGTCGATTGTGTCATTATCGATGGCAAACCACGTGGACAACTTATGAAGTTTATGATTGATTTTGTTGATGGAAAGACAATTGCGAACTCAGGATTCTCTATTTTGTTCAGACAAACTGAAGGAACGGAAATCATGAACATCGAAACTATTTCATCGGAAGAGGATCAAGTTATCGAACATCATTCATCATCGGATAAGCAACATCATAATGGAATGGGTCCAGAGGGAGAACACAAGCATCATATGGACGAAGGATCTAAGGAGGAACACAAAATTTATATGAGCAAGAGTCCTCAAGGAGAACATAAAGATCATATGGATAACGGCCCAGAAGGAGAGCATAAACACCAGATGGGCCACAAAGAGTTCAACATTTCACAAAGAGTTGGGCGAACTTAGATATATGAAAGCTCAAATGAAAGAGTTAAAGTATCTCCTCCATGAAAAGAAGCATCACATCTCAAGATACGCTCGAGAACATCATGATCTTCACGATAGAATCAGAGATTGTGATAGTCTTCGATGTGTCGCTAGAGTTATCAGCGAGAGAGCTCGTAAATTCTACGGAAGAATTGCTGGGGATGAATTTGATGAAGAATCATTCCATCATTCTCGCATGTCCCACTCAACGAAGGGTAAGAAACATGGTAAAAGATTTGATGGAAAGCCAGATAGCCATACATCTGGTAACCATACTTCTCCACATGTACCCCACGGCAAAAATAATCATACCGGTCCACACTTCCCTCCTCATCGACACCATGTTCTTCCAATATGTCATTATCCTCCTCCTTTTGATTTTCATCCACATGGTCCTCATCATGATGGACCACATGGACCGCCACACGAACCCCCTCATAGACCTCCCCATGGACCTCCTTCACACGAATTCGGTCCTCTTGGATTCGAACACGGAATACACCATGAAATGAACCCTTTCCATGATGACAATGAAGAACATGGACGTTGGAAAGGACGACCAAGACATCATGGAGATGAATCTGAAGAATTAGAAAGACCTCACAGGGGTCATGACAGCTTCGAAGATGAATTTGAAGGACGTCATGGGAAACATGCTCAACCACATCATGAACAAGGACCACCATCGTTTGATGGCCCAGACCTCGATCACCCAGAAGAACATCATCATGGTGAACATCCACACGATGGGCCATTTGATGGACCCGAATGCGACGGACCACATCATCCACATGAGGGACCATTCGATGGACCAGAAAATGACGGACCCCACCACAGCCCACCTCACAGCGGTCCTCACGAAGACCAAGAACCTCCCTTCCATCCCGGCCCCCCAAGCTCGCATCCCCCACCACCACCCTCCGAACCCGAGCACGAGCACTTCAACCCCCCTCCCCACTACCTCGAAGACAACTTCTCTGGTCCTCCACCCCACTTCCTACTCCACATCCTCTAATTCGCACTCATCGGCTTCCTCCTCTCCCTCCTCCTCATCACTCTCCACCGCCGCACCCGCAACCCCAAAACCCGTTCTACCCAAGGATCTAACCGCCAATCTCGTCTCGAAAACCACTGTCGCCGCCGCGCCAGTTTCAAAAGCTGGTGGAATCATATCATAGGCCAAGAAGAAGATTTCGAAGAAAAGGATAGATTACTCTCTGCTTCTGATTCTGATTCCGATAGTGATTGTGAGAGTGGAAATGAAGACACCCCCTCCGAATTCTCAGTCAGCCAAGATATTTCCTCCTTGCGTAATGCGGTGGATGTAGTGAGCGATATGGTAGCTGCGGAGGAAGGACGTTCGTTTTCTTCTCTTCCTGTTCCCGCTCATTCTGTTCCTATTCCTATTTCTATTCCTGTTCATCAACGAAATATATCCGCAGATCAAATCCTCCATTTCGATGGGTATACGCATGGGATTGGTATTGAAATTGGAGAGGGAATGAATGATGATGATGATGATGAGATATTGCCAGCATATGAAGATAATGATGGGAGTGAGGAGTCTGGAAGTGTGGCGGATGGATTTAGATACACAACTGGATGTAGTGCGTATAGTCCGAGTCATTCGGCGAGTGGGAGTGTGAGTGATGTTTTGGGGGATAAGGTTTAGAGGATGGGTTTTGGGTATTTGAGATGGAGAAGGGATGAGGAGTTGAGGAATGAAGGAGAGGGAGAAGAGGATCATTTCATATATACCACATACTGCACATTCGCAATCGCTTTTTACACCACTTCCTGTACTCGTAGACCTAGGGTATTTCTTTTGTATCGATTGTTTTATTCTATTATTATTTTCGTAGTATATCAAATACCACATACCACATATAATATCGAATACTGCACTTTACCAAATAAACACAAGTGTATTCTGTAGAACTTCACCGTATTGCCACACTATCACAGATCTTATACATTTTCTCGCTTCCATCCATCTTCTCCATTCTATTCGATCCTGCTCATTATATCTATATCACCAAATAACCCTACCCATCTCTCTACATACATATACATATACATATACACATCACTCCTCTCACCCCCATCACTCCCATCATTTCCATATTCTATTCCCAAATCCCAAACCTTCATTTCATCATTGTTTATTTTTTCATCCCTCATTCGATAACACATCCAGAAATAAAACTACCACCCATACGTACAAATCCCATTAAATCCTATCCTAGTCTCTCCCATTCTATCTATCCTATCCTATATTATCTTCTCTTACCAAAAACCCCAAATAGAAATCTTAGAAATAGTTAGTACATAGATAATAAAACTACTAAATATCTCATCCCAACTAATATATACTTATACATATGCTTTCGAGTCACTGGGAATATTCATATCCATATATATACGTCCATACATTCATCCATCTTTCTTCTTCGAGAGTTTTCCTTTTCTTTTTTTTTGGTGGGGGGGGGGGGGGGGGTATTAAAGATTTATGCTTTGGAATTGTATTTATTTTTCCCGAGCTTTGGATTGGATGGGATGTTTAGATGTTTGGATCTAGATGTATAAATGTTGCGGTTCGTAGGTTTGTATATATGTATATGTATACCTATATTGTGAGGGAGCTAACTATACACCTACCGTATTTCCTAATATATTTTCATAGAAAAATTATAATCTAGAAGGGGGGTTTCGGTTGTTGGGCACTAGGTAGGTATCACCTACCTACCTAGCACTCAATGTCTTTATTTGACTATGTGTAAGATCCTACTTGAAACCATATGTTTTTATCTTAAACCCGGATTGTATGATTTACAGTCTGGACGGGTTGATTACAATCATAAATATTTTGATTGTAGTTTGTACTCATCAAAAGCAAAAGCAACATCAGATTAAAGTACGATATGAGGGTGGGTATCATGCAATGGTATCTATATTTTTCTAAAAAATAATTCTGGTCTGTTCTGTTCTGTTTCTCCGAATAATATCTCTTCTCCTTATCCTCTGAAAAAGAAACCTCTCTAGAAAATCCTCCCAAATAATCGCTGGAAACCCTCCCAAACACTCGCTGTAAATCCTCTCTCCCCTCTCCTATCCCTCACACACCAACACTCCCCTCCACTCACCCCACCAGCAACCCCCAAACCCTACGAATTAATAGTCCTATTCACACTCTGCAAATGTCCCAACTTATGACCCTTCGCATTCTTCATCTGATTCTCCGGTACTCCACCCGGTAAATCCGCCGTCGAAATACTCGATACATGTGGTGCATTTGGAATATCCATTATCCCATCTCCCCCCATCTTCCCATCTCCACTCCCATTCTGATTCCCTACATCTCTATATCCCAACGTCAGTGACTTTTCCTCCCTCAACACATCCTCGTTTCGATAAATTGCACTCACTTCCTCGCCTCATGATTGACCGTCGTCGACGTCGCCGTATCGAGCCCCTTATTAATCTCTTCCAAATCCGGTACGGGTGCATTTCCCTCCGGTTGCGGTAAACTTGTAATATCCAACTGTAAATCCTCTTCTCCCGTTGGACTCGAGACTTTTAATCCCTCCTCTCTCCTCTCTTCTTCTTTTTCCTTCTCGATCTCATTAACACTACTCGCCTTGCTCACTTCCGCACTCGCAGGACTTTCTGTTCGAAGTCCTAAATCTCTATTTCCATTGGAAGGAGAAACTTCATTTTCTCCCTTCCAATCTGCGGCTTGGACTTCGGGGACTGGGGAATTTGGACCCGGTTCTTCAATGACACTTTCTATTCTACCGCGACCAGGCTCGGGATCATAGACTTTCCAAACTACGGCGAGTTTATCCAAGGCTCTTGTACCTTTACGAGAAGAACCTTTGATCCCATCCATTTTATCCCATTCGATTTCGAAGATACCATTTTCATCTGGTTTGCCATTGTTTTCAGGTCCACCACCTTCAAAATATGCATTGAACCATACGTGAGCAACGGCTGTAACCATTATCCAACCCATGGAAGCTTTGTTTCTGCGTTCGAAATCGATGTTGATATCGCTCGTAGGAAGAATAACTCTTGTAGAAGGTTTAAAAATGACTGCTCCTCCTCCAGTCTCTGAATCTGTTTCTGATCCGCTGACATTGGGTTCTGTAGCTCGTGGTGTTAGCGTTGTATTTTTGGGTTCCTCAATTCGATCTGCACTTTTGGATGTTGCGATTTTATCTTGATTTCCAAATCCTGCCATGTCGGATATCATATTTTTGATGCCACCACTACCGGGTGTATTTCCTTCTACCACTACTCTTTCTTTCTTTGTAAAGACGTGGAATAATTTGATTGTTTTGCCTTCATCAACATATCCTTCGACTTGGACTTTCACACCATCCCTCAATCCCCAAACATGGACCTCCATAATCTCAATTTGTCGATCAACATAATGTTTTCCAGATTGTGTCCATCGATCCACATAACCAACCCATCTCAATTGACTTGGTATCGAAACACCTTGTCCAAAACCCGGTCTCATTCTCCTCTCTGTAAATCGCGCAAGTGCCTCAGAAGCCTTCCATCCACACTCTGCAATCAAATAACTACACGCCATCGTACCACTTCTTCCTTTCCCAGCCTTACAATGTACAACCACCACCTTTCCCCCTTCCTTCGTCTCATTCTTTCCCTCCCCATCACCCGCCTCTTCCAACCAATTTCTCATTCCTCCCACAATCCCCGGAACCAACTTAAAAGGCGGCGGATGATGATCTGGCCACGGCCAATGTCTAACTCTCCCTCTCACCTCCTCATCCGGATATCCCGTCCCCTCGGCCCTAAACTCCCATATCATCCATCCCTCTTTCCCATGTTTATAATCGAGGAATGTAACGAGTTGATCGAGCGGATTGCGATATGCGCGTTGCGGATATGTGCCGCTGGGTCCAGACGTCGCTATTATATTAGGTGTTACGTAGCAGAGATCCAATCCTGCTTCTGGGTGACGAGAACGCGGACCTGCGACAATTTGACGAAGGAGTGAAGCCATTTTTGAATATGATGGCGATGTTCCGCGTACTTCGTGATAGTTTGTTTGGTTCGAAGAAAGAAAGGAGGGATATTATTTGTTAGGGAATTTGAGTTGTGCTGATGATGTTTTTATAGAACATTGTCCCTTGCCTTGGAAAAGTATCGAATTAAATGAAGATGATATCAGGCTGGAATATTCATCACTTTGTGTATCATAATTTACTTGTTGTTTATGTGAGGAGAGGCTGGAGTGGTAGGGTAGGGAGCAGCAAGAACCACAATGACGTATTTTTAATGGGTGGTGGTGAGAAATCTTGGCTTGAGTGTGGCTGTGCAACCAACTTTCTCTCCAAACAGACCTCGGGACCGTTGGAATTCGATGTGTTTGCATATCCGCAATTTTATGGCTGAAAATGATGAAACGTTGTTTATGATACTGAATTTACATAAGTTACTGAAACTGCGTTGCCTTCGGTGTTACAGATATCTAGTCTGGTGGGAGTAAATATCACTCACTATAAATATAGACTAGCCGCCTAACTCGACCCCATCTTCAGCACTTGAAGCCTCACGTTTACGGAAATGGATGCATGTGGTTGCCCACGGGTAAGTTGAGTAAAAGGAACTTGTATAGCTATGATCAAAAATACTTAAAGCATCTAGAGCAAAGTTTTCAAGAAATTAGTTTCATTACATTGGAAATGACATAAAAAAACATGAAATTTCCTCCCATTCAAGTGCTCTGAATCTGGATAGGGGTATCAAGCGACACCAAAAATAATCTCAAGTTGCAGAAATTCCAGTGTCTCGCCCTTCGAGGCACCAGTGACTAGAAGAGCAATGTTTAGAACCTATTCCTTTACATTATCTGCCTTCATCCAGATCTGTTTCTCCATCGTCCAAATTTTTTAGGGGAGGGGGGGGGCAATTCAACACAAAATACGGAAACAATAAATCTGATTCGTATTACTTCTTATTCACTTCTGGATCTAAGTGCTTCCATCCCGCGAACTTATTCGTTTCATTGCAGAACGAAGTTCCCAAATCTATCAAAAGCAGTAATTCGACCCTCAGTTGGGTAATGAGTTATTTAACAAGGTAATCTGGCACAGCATATCCATCAACGAGGCTGATGACAGTATATCGACCCCATAGCATCTGCACCCCCTCAATCAGCACTTACTAACTATGAATGCAGTGTGTTCCAAGCGAGCCCTACAATTCCAGCGGCAGAGTAATTGTAAAGTGTATGATGATCATCAAACCTGCTGAGCTCGGGAATGATGCGGAATGCATCAAGTGCTTTGATGTTAGGGTATGCTATGAAAATATTAACATGGTTCGTATACGTTCTTCGTTGTTGTCATGAGTGTATATTTTCGCTATACGGAACGTCTGATTAGCTGTTATTCAACCCAGAGCCTAAGAGTTCATGTTGGAATTGAATTTGAAGAGTAGCCGCCTTTTACGTGCCTAAAATATTTAGGAGAGGAGAGCGAGAAGCCTTTGGCTATCATTTTCAAGTCACCAAAGAATTTCGGCTGTATTATATCTTGAAGAGCACCTCCTAGCTCTGATATTGCGGAAGATTAGATGACGTTTTCAATTACTGTAGACAGCGACTGAGTTCTCATATTGGTAAACTCTAATAGAAATGGAGAATTTCGAGATGTAGTAGCTTAAAATGCTTAAATAAATCAAGAAGGTATAAAATGCTATTAGGAAGAGATTGTCTCACTCTATTCTGTCGAACATCTTTCAGGTGGTAATTTCTCCCTGTGCTTTGCGGAGGCTTGATACTTGTGTCGAGGGACATCGATGCATTTTAGAACCTTGCGTGAGATTAAAGTAATAGCTGCTCGGTGAAACAAACTTTTACTACGCGTCTTCCGGGAATCTAAATCAACCTTCTCAGATGACTCGACTTCACAAAGCAGATTTATTCGTTCTAACTTTCTATCTCTATCCAAGTCTTTGGTATCATCATTATGACTACGAACAGAATTTTCCCAACCATTATTGCTGTCAAAACAAAACGTAGTAGGCTCGACGGCGTTCAAATTCAAGTCTATTAATTTCTCTTCGAAAAGATATGGATGGTAACCAAGGAGTTTTGTTGTATTAAATCGTACACTCAGCAAATCCTCCCATTTTCTGGCATGAAAACAAAAAAGTCACACAAAAAGCCCTCCACAAGCATCCCCAAAACAGTCCAGCCCCGCAGAAGCGACACGAAAACAATCCTTTTGGACAAAAAATTTCCTTCGTCGTGGTCGAGAAAGTGGCGCATCTGGCGTGAAATGAAGTCCCCTAGGCCGAGAAATCTGATTCTGAGGTGTAAGAAGCCGAGAAGTGGAATTAATGATATAACTTTTCTTATTGTTGTATGAAGACTTTGAGGAATGAAAAAGGTCCGGGGAAGACATGGTTTATCCTACTGGTCCTTGAAGCAAGGATTATTTTGGGGTGGAGGGTTTATGGGGGTTTGTTCCGGAGTTTGTGGGATAGACTGTGAGTTAGTTGGAGATGGGTAGGATGGATTGCTTCTTTCTGTTGAAGTACTGTTTTGTGGGGGTTGGAAGAGGTAAAGGGCGAGAGAGAGGGGTGTTTGTTGAGGTTTCTTTCTGCATGTGCATAAGTGCTTCAATGATCATGATGGAAGAGTCAACTCGTTTCAGTTGATCAGTTGATTTGAAGCTGAACTGAAAAAAATGATTAAGGTAAATCCCACGCTCGCAAATGGCTTCCGAGACCTGAATAAGAATGACACTCACGTCTAATTTCTTTGAGGTTTACTATGAGACAGAGGAATATGCCACAGTCAAATATAGAAGTGTATAGTATCTATTCAATTTACCCATTCTCACATCTTGTGGCATGATCAAACTAGGCTGCGCAACGGGTACCCGCGGGGCGGATAATGACCTCAACAGATAATCCGCGGATAATTCGTCTATAGAGCGGATAATTCAGAATCTGAACGGGTAACCTATAGGGCGGGTACAAATTACCTGTAGATATCCACCTATTTATATATTATATAACTATTTTATAATTAATATAAAAATTAGTATAAATCCAAGCTTAAATCATTTTTGAACTGGAAAATAATCTGGGAATAGCTTTATATTTTAAGCGAATCTTTGTTTTTTTTTGAGAATCTATATATCCACAAATTATTTACAGATAATCTACAAATTATCCGTATACTTGTAAATAATTTGCAAATAATCCGTTTATTTATATACCTGCAGATTATTTGTAAATAATTCGTGAATTATCTATATAAAGTAGGTAATTTTAAAGCCTTAATAAATAATCTATAGAGCAAATAGAACCTCTGATGAATAACCTGTGGAGCGGATTATCCGCAGATAATCCATGGGTACAGATAATTTGTGCACAGCCTAGATCAAACACACGCCAGCTCTAACATAGAATCTGATTTAATGGTCAGCCGTAGTAGCTTAACGACAGAAGAATCTCTTCCAACGTTTCGCTTATTAACGATTTCAAGATACTCAAAATCAAAAAATCTCGTTTTTTTATCATGATAAATATCTGAAAATCAATGGCAATAAGTAATACCACCCAAACCATCCCTTTGTCGCCCACTCTTCCAGTCAAGAAGTGTTCACAATGGTACTGCTTCACTCTCACGACTGTCTCGCAGTACTCAACAAGAGGCGCGACAACGGAGAAGCAAACAACAGAACACAGCATGCGCTCGATGTTTGTATCAAGGTGGTGGAACGATGTTATACTGGTGGTGGTTGGCGAATTGGTTGTGGTGTGTTTTGAGATATGTTGCTGGTACTCTGGTTAATGTTTCTGTTGTGGGATTTACTGGATATTGTCTTCGGTTGGGAAGAGTTTAGATGGTCGTTTGTGTGTAACTGGATCTCTTCAAATGTATATATACAGCGGAGTTAGGCTTTATTGAAAAGACGCGGCTCTAACAAGAATTTCTCCTTGTTCGCAATCAACAAGCTTGTACCATTTGTTGTTTTCAATGTATTTTGCTAATCTTTATTTTGATGATATTGGCAAAACATCACGACGAGTCAAGATAAATAACAGGATGACACAGGATCTCACTTCAAATCCCATATACATCTAATCACGGAAATGATTTATCCTTTGCTTTGCTTGGAATTGCCATCTCTGAGTTTTGATCAGACTTCTCAGCCTCTCGCAATCTTCTAGCACATTGACCTCTCCGTTCTCTCGTACTCACGAGAAATGCTCTTTTGAACTGGTCACTTGAACTCTTCGCCACCCAGAAACTTGGTGTACGTATATTCGAGAAACCCTATATATATATACGACGACCTAGTCTCTTCTCCCGACCAACTCTTCACTTCGCGTCAACGATAAGTAGGGTAAGCTAGACAGGAATAGAATGCAAAATAGAGTTCATCGGAGCCGGGCTCGAATGTAGATCCCGCTACTCTATTTGGAATGCAGACAAGCGGGCTACCCGGTAGTTCAAGAAGCTTCACATGTTAGTCATGGCACTATATCGATAATCTGGGTTAGAGGTGCACAGACTGGAGGGACACTAAGAGAACTAAACTCGGAAATCTCTTTTGAGTTACTGATTGGTGTGCATTACGATTTCGACTGCTGGAACATTCCAGAATAAATGATGGAATCATAATCTTGATATCAATCAATTGAAGCTTGATCTATTAAGATATTTGGAAGACGGCTCAGGCGGGAAATATCCAAGATGTCCATGCACCCACTGCCATGTAATGAATGCTCTTCGTCCATGCAAGTCGCACTGACGCACTTGCATCTCAACCCAAGAAATCAGATTAAGTAGTTGACTTTTCTCTTAATAACTGTCATCGATACCATCTCACTTATAGTACATGTATGTACTTGATTATCTTGCAACTAGCAAATTGACTGTAGAAAAGTGACCTTGCTACAAGAATCTCAAATTCCACACCGAAAAATCGGTTGATACCTCCTATGCATGCACTTACTTGAATCGCTTAAATTCCGTTGAAA